AAATACGTGTTTACTACAAGGCTCCTTGCCATGAGATTTGAATAAAAAGAAGCTTTAAAGCACACTGTTGGTCCTCAAGGAACTTTCAGTCTGGTTAGACAGACAGGATTTCCTCATATAATATAAGAATTACAGAATTCCCAAAGGAGGAAGAACTGACTTGCAGCTTGAGTTGTCAGGTAGGGCACAGGGAGAACATCGAAGAACTGATAGGATTTTGATGGGAGAAAGGGGTTGGATATTCAAATGAGAGAATGCCAAGAATTTAGGGGCAAAGGCAAAAACGGCACAGAGCAGTGTCAGTGTAAAGGAATGCTTTCGTTATGTTAGACTAGAGAGTCCATTCCTGGAGTCACGGGAGATAAGGCCAGAATGCCATGTTGTGGCCTTATTATGAAAGTTTTGAATACAGACTGGAGTTTGGAGTTTGTACTTTATTTTATAAGCATAAGAGTTCATTGGAAAGCTTTTGAACAAGCAAGTGGTGTTATCAAGCATCATGTTAATAATGTCAGTTTAATAAGATGATTCTCAGAGTGATGCACAAACGAATCCCTTGAAGGAAGAACAGACTAGAGGCAGAGTACTTAGGTAAGAGGTTGTGACATTAGTCTAGGTGTGAGTTGGTAAGGACCAGAATCAGGTGGAAGTTAGAAATGTCAGACTAAATCTGCGTGTGTGTGTGTGTGTCACACGTGTTTTAAAAGAGCACTTAGCATATTATTATAAATGAATAATATAATAAAAACTCCAAAGCTAAATTTATTGATAATATTCATTGTGGTTGAGCAAACATTAGTGGAATGAATATTAAAGTGTCCTATCCAAGACCACTACAGGAATTCTTTATCTGCATGATGTTATTATGAATCCAGCCCAGTGATACTCATGTTCCCTATGTAATTTTCCAAGTAAGACTTTCCACTGAGAGCTCAGTCCTAGGAAAACTTGGTGTACTTTTGAGGAACTGGAATATTTCCTTCCTTATTTTCTTCCTATGAAGCTCAGGCAATCTTCCCTGAATGCCTGTAGGCTTGAAACCAGGCTTTCAGCACTGCAGCTGTGTTGACTTTCGACTGTAATCTCCGTTTCTTTTTGTTAACTCTCCTCCCCTCCCTTGTCATTACTCTTCACTAATCTTAGGGTCTTGGTTTCTTCTCTTCCCTCTGTAAGCTTCTCCAAATGATTTTTCAAAGAGACAAAGCGTAAGGACATTTAATATGTGCCGGCAGCTCTCCTTCTGCTATCCCTAATCTCGGTCTCCTCCCTGAGCGCCAGCGTGGCATTTCTACATCTTGCTTTTATTTTGCCCTGCCTCTAAACAGATAACCACCATCTAGCAACTCTCTTGTGTCCAACCTCCAACCTTATTCAAATGTGATCTTTGAACCAACAGCAGTCTCGCCACCCGGGAACTTTCCAGAAATGCAGATTCTCAGGCCTCACCCCAGAGTACTGAACCAGAAACTCTGGAGAGTGGGCCCAGGATTCTGTGTTTTAACTAGTCCTTCTAGGGATTCAGACACATGTTGAAGTTTGAGAACCACTGCTCCAGAGAATGTGCTCTTTCCTCTGTCTCCCAGTCTAGCTGGTCCCTAGCTCAAGGTATTTCTCATCCATTCTGCATGTTCGCTCTGTTATCAGGGTAAATTCTTTATACACTTTTCAGAATTATTATACATTCTTAAAGGAGCTTATCTGACTGGTGTAGCTAATTATTACCCCCACCACAGTTAGTAAAGTATTTATGAGTACCCTACCTCATGGTCGCTAGCTGGCCCATGCTTGAGCCACTTTTGGAATACCTTGCAACACCAGGTCCTCTCAGTGGCCAGCTCTCATAAAAACAACAACAACAACACAAACAAACAAACAAACAAAACACACGGACTAATATTGCTTTCCTGAGAAGATGGCAGAAGATAAACCAGAAAGAGGCCTACTCCTGTCCAATAAGTTAATCTTTAATTAAATTGATGTGTGCAGTATGTCTTCAGCAGAGGACTAGTGGGGATTTTCTTAGTTGGATAACCTGGATTTCAGGGTTCTTACAGGAAAGACAAGAGGCAACCATTACTGCTTGACACCATTGGAAACAGGCAGAGGCAAGAGGTCTACCTTCCCTGATATTTGAAGATGGTTCAAGTTAGGGTTGAGATAAAAGATCCTGTCATGAATTGTTACATGGACAAGGATCCAATTCACAAGTTACAGGGATGTCATCCAGTCCGTACCTTTGATGGAAATGTATTGTTAGATGTTTACATTAGTGCGTAAAGATACTATGCCCTTCCTTTCTTTTTTAATTTAAGAAGCACTTTATAACTCCAAATGTAGTGACAACTTCAGAAATTGGTCTTATTTATTTATTTTATTTTATTATGTTATGTTAATCACCATACATTACATCATTAGTTTTTGATGTAGTGTTCCATGATTCATTGTTTGTGTATAACACCCAGTGCTCCATGCAGAACGTGCCCTCTTTAATACTCATCACCAGGCTAACCCATCCCCCCACCCCCCTCCCTTCTAGAACCCTCAGTTTGTTTCTCAGAGTCCACAGTCTCTCATGGTTCGTCTCCCCCTCCGATTTCTGCCCCTTCATTTTTCCCTTCTTACTATCTTCTTCTTTTTTTTTTAACATATAATGTATTATTTGTTTCTGAGGTACAGCTCTGTGATTCAACAGTCTTACACAATTCACGGCCTTCACCATAGCCCATACCCTCCCCAGTGTCTATCACCCAGCCTCAGAAATTGGTTTTAAATCCTCAAGTTGCTTTGTTAAGGGCAAGAAGTGGCAGGGAGGGAATGAGTTTCAGTAGAAATCTCTTATTAAATTGAGGCAGAAAATAGATGGGGGCTAGTTCTCGAAGTTTTGCATGGTGGCGAAATAAAGAGACAGACAAGTATACTTGCAAAATAGATGTGAGTTTCTAAAATTTATTCTATCATAATTTGAAAGATGTTGGCAATTCATGTAAGGCAGTTTTGTTCTACAGTGGATTAGGAATAAAAAAAAAAACAACAAATATTTATTAGGCATTAATGTGATACTCGGTTCCTACCAGGAGTTTTTTTCTTTTGTTTTTTAACCTACTCAAACAGTCAAGGTTAATTTAACTTTTGGTATCTGAAGCAATACCCAAACTACAAGATAATAGATGGTTAAGTGCTAAATTACATTATCCTTGATGTGCTTCTCTTTGTACATTCTTGGAACTCTCATCTCTTGTGATTTTATCTAATAACTATGTAGGTCAGTGTTTCTCAGTCTTGAGTAATGTAGGGATAGACTGCTGCAAAAATTTCTTACATTCCCTCAATATGGAGTGAAAGTATTTTTATTACTATTTTACCAAAACATGTATCAGTCTAAAAATAGGCACAAACCACTTAACCTTATGATTCTTAAACAACTATAAAAAAACAAATCTACAGATTAAATACAGAAAAGTTATACAGCCAATAGAATTTAAACTAACTGAGGCGCACGGATCATGTTTTATTGAAGCAAAAACATCACACCCCGAGCCCGAGCATGGTTCTGCCTAAGGTGCAGCTTTCTGTGCTGTCAACAGGCCTTTCTTACTGAGTCACGTGATGACTCAGCTCTCACCACTTCTTTATTCAAACCACGGTGAAACTAGCCTTTATACACTTCCCGTGGGTTTTTTTTTTTTCTTTTGCTGTGATTTGTACAAACACATCATGTGTGTATTAACTCTGCTTGTGATATTTTCTATTTGGCAACAATTAATACAGTGCTCTCGATTGTCAACTTGAAATACAAATGAAAAGTTGAGAAAATTGGGGGTGATTTGATGTAGGGTAGCTGTCCAGATGGTCCCAGATTTTCTTGTTATTTTAAAAAGAGCATCAGATGTGAAATCCTCATGAAAGATATTTAAAAAAATCTTCATTAAAAAACGGAATGCCACTGTGGTGGACACAGCTGTGCCTACCAGTTCCCCTACAAGGAAGCATGTGGTGCCCCAGCCACCAGAAGACAGCATCCAGTTCTCAGTTCCTTTAGGGTTTGTTCAGCTGCAAAGAGCTGCCAAGGGTTCAGCCCCCACAGGTACCCACATTCAAGGACAGATGGAGGCAGTGGTATTAAAACTTGGCTATTTCACCCAAACAGGGACAACTCTGATGGGCCACATATGTTCCAGTCTCCCGTGGACTTGGCTGAGGCTTTGTTGGCCTGCCTTTCCTTGCAGTTCCATCTTGCCCTCTCGATCCTGCTTTCTGCCTCTCTTCCATTAGTGATGATCCTTAATAAATACCCCTCATGCCAAACTCCATCTCAGTGTCTGCTTCTGGAAAATCCAGCCAACAAGCACTCTCGAGAATCTCTCTGAGGATCCCAGAGGAGTGAGAATGCTTCTTCTGGGGCCGTGATTTTTCTTACAAGCTTCTAGTCTCAAAGTTCAGCTTCCAGTTGTGTACTCCCATCAGTACTTGAAATTCAACAGGTCCAAAGCTGACACATAACCCATCTCTTGGGCTTGTGCCTGAGAACAACTTGTGGTTTCCCCCCCTGCTTTATAATTTATTTATTGGCACTACCATTGTATTCCCACAGGATCAGAACTTGAGAGGTAATTTTGATTTTTCATACATCTTGCTCTGTACAGTCTATTATTCATGCTTCTTAACATGGGAAGAACTTTACTCACTTCTCCAGAGATTCACTCCCCTCTAAACAAGGGATCTGCTGAAATTGTAATGGAGACTTTCATTTTTCTCTTGGGATATCTATTCCTTTTAATAGTTTTCAGTTTCCCTTCTCTTTGATTCATAAACTTTAAAAGACACAAAAAAATTTTTCTCATACAAGACACATACACACAAAATTCCAACCCACAATCACCTACTTATTTTGGAGTGCAGTATGTTGGCTCACCTACTGAATAAAAGAATAATGCTTTGAGAGGGTGACAGCAAGGGCCAAGGGCTTCACTTTTCCTCCTGCAGCTGAGATTAAGGCAGCACAGTCATTAAAACAAAATATTAATTTTGTTTAAAATAAAGCAATAAAACAAAAAATACATTCAGTTTTCTTTTCCTCTTTATCTTTTATATTGGACTAATGAGGAAAGGAAACTAAGTCTTGATAAATGCCAAAATAATAATTTTATAATATACAGACTAAAACGTGTGTGAATGTGATGCCGTTTAGAAGTCTCTCAAAACATATATACTTTTGAAAGCAGTCAACTCATTGAAAGGTACTGCTGTTTAAAACTGAAAGTTGTGTTGTCAGTTGAAGATGAGAAACTGAGATATTTGTGAGGGAGAGATTGTCAGCAAAGCAGTAGAACATTTCCCGCCCATGGGTGCAGTCTTGAGGATTTGCGATGGCCATGACTAGTCCAGCAACCATCACCATGACACCGACAGGAAGCATGATACAGGACATAATCTTATCTGAATGTGTCCTCGGTTCTTCAGACAGTTTCAGATAGCATGCTGATGGAATGATAAAAATTAGTGGAGCGGCACAGAGCACACCCTGCATATTGAAAACAAGAAATAACAGTATGTTACCAAATGGAGCATTCTTTGGACATTTTTTTTTTAAGATTTTATTTATTTGACAGAGAGAGACACAGTTGAGAGAGGGAACACAAGCAGTGGGAGCGGGAGAGGGAGCAGCAGGCTCCCCGCTGAACAGACAGCCCGTTGCGGGGCTCGATTCCAGGACCCTGGGATCCTGACCTGAGCCGAAGGCAGACGCCTAACGACTGAGCCACCCAGGTGCCCCTGGACAGTTTTTGAAATAGATTTACAAAATGTATTTGTCTTTGTACATGTTTAAAGTTAAATAGGTTTAGTTGAATCAACCAAGGGAAAGAAGAATAACCCAATAAAGACTTAGGAATAGGTTTTCCCCTTTCTGATGATATATTTACAAATGATTCGAATAAAATAGTGTATCAGACTTAAGAAAAAAATGATCAGAAAATAATAATTTAGAAAATAAAGCAGAAGGTAAGACCAACTTCTGGCAAACTCTTGAAATGTCCCATATTTTCAGCACATCACATTTTCTTACATTCTTATTTCAAATTGCTGAGTAACTATTATGCTGTTCAAATGGGAGCAGTCTATTTGTCATATATGTACAAGAGGGGACTGACTTCCGGGAAGTGTGTAGGGGATATTATCTTTCCTCTTTCTTGAGTTGGTGTGAAAGTAGGTGCCCCTCTGTATGAGAAAACTATCATCCCAAGGGCACTTAATATGAAATAGCATTTCATAATCCTCTTTCAAGTAAAACTAAACATGTTAAGTACCCTAGAAAACTGACAGCAGAACTATATGACTATGACTCATTCACCTTCACCTACATTAGCTTATGGATAAGTCCAACCTGAGGGGGCATGTCAGATTAAAAATTATGGGGAGTAGTGTTGTCTATTATAAAAATACCAAGAAGGGCACCTGGTGGCTCAGTTAAGCCTCCACTCTTGATTTTGGCTTAGGTTGTGATCTCACGGTCGTGAGATGGAGCCACATGTCAGTCTCTGCACTCAGCAGGGAGTCTGCTTGAGATTCTCTTTCTCTCTCTGCCCCTCCTCCCACTCAATGCCACGTTGTGTGTGTGCTCTCTTTCTCTCTCTCAAATAAATAAATCCTAAAAAAATAAAAAAAATACCAAGAGTTATTGACTTCAAAGAAAAGATACTTTCCCTTTGAGGAGGCTAAATTTGCACTAGACACTGCAAATGATATAATGTTAAAATGTAATGCATTTTAGGCAATATAGTTTTAAAATTATATTAAATGTTAATTATATATTAAACAAAATATAACACACTATTAAAATATATTAAATATAATTGTATAACAAATGACATTCTCTTAAGCCATAAAACACAAGTTTTTAAAAACAGACAATAGCAGGGGCGCCTGGGTGGCTCAGTTGGTTAAGCGACTGCCTTCGGCTCGGGTCATGATCCCGGAGTCCCGGGATCGAGTCCCATATCGGGCTCCCAGCTCAGTGGGGAGCCTGCTTCTCCCTCTGACCCTCTTCCCTCTCATGCTGTTTCTCTCTCTCTATCTCAAATAAATAAAAAATATATTAAAAAAAAACAGACAATAGCAAATGGGATATTGGTTTAAAACTAAAAGCAAGCTTTCCAAAAAATACATGTTTTGCTATATTTCAAAGTTATTATGGAAATATGTAAATATACAGAAAAGTAGAAAGAATAGTATAATGAAACTCTATACACCTATCACCTAAGGTTTAAATGCTTTTTGACACATTATTTGGTAGATTTCCCCAGGGAAAAATCACAGAAACCTGATTTTGAAGCTGGATGATGTAAAAAACAGATTATAACTTAAAATAGTTTTAAAAGAAATATTTTCTCAGGCGCCCGGCTAGCTCAGTCGGTAGAGCATGAGACTCTTAAAAGAAATATTTTCTCAATATCATCATTTACTAAAATTACTGTTATACTCAGTGCCATCCTCAGACCAGGAATATTACAACTATGATTCCAAAAATATAGCTTTTTTAGCTTTTACAAAAATAGAAGTCCAGAGAAATGGCAGTTAGTTGGAATATGTTATGAAATGACTATTGAGGCACTATCTAAAAATTTGGGGAAGAATAAGAGGGACCACACTTCATGGAAAATATGTCTATAGCCAAAGATATGAGTGAGAAAAGAGGTGCTAAAGTGTATTCTCATTTAAAATATATGGAAAATGTAATTTTCCCATTCATGGTATCTGCATACAGATGAATACCTACAAAGGTACACAGATATAAAGAATTAGTTTTCACATGGCAAGAATTGAATGAATTATGGACTCCTTTGTCTCGAAACACTTGAAACTGACAATGTTCTTTTAAGAAAAATACTGTAGAACTCCATCTGTGTTTATAATAATTATTATCCTTTGATTTCTTTGAAAAAATTGTGAAAACAATGAAAAAATAATTAAGATATAAATATATGTATGTGGGTGTGGGGGTGTGTATATGTATAGAGTCTCTTCTCTTTACAGGAACAAACATGTGAAGCTAATTCATCTGGAACTTCAGAGTGTGGAAAGTGCTATCAGGATGAAAACCGCCACCAGCTGCTGCTAAGAAGCTGTCATCAGTCAGCATTTTGGGACACTTCCAAACCTAACTTGCTGGGCAGTCCAAAGCAATGGGTGTTCTGTTTATGCTATAATTCTTAAGAGTTGAGAAAGTAGCAATTAGTGGGAAAACTATATAGCTGATGCTTGTACTGGAAGAAGTCCAGTTGAGTATCTTGTCTAGATAGCAGTTACTTTCTTAATATTTGAAAACGCAGTCTTGCTAGAGGTTGTTGTTAGGACCCAAGATCATCAGTAGAATGATATAGCAGTTCCATCTGCTCTTTTTCCTGTAAATTTGTCCTGCTTATTTGATCTACTAAATATAGCCTTGTGTGAGAATACACCACTGGCATTGGAATAATTTTTGGAATTGCTTGACAGAATGTAAATATCCTTTCATTAAAGGGATAATAAAATATAGCCTTATTTTAAAGGCAGGGCAGCACTGTCCTTTGATAATAATACTATTGATGCCAGGGCATTCTGCAATTTGCTGTAAGGAAATAACAGAAGGTGTTGAAGGTTTTTACTGGCAATACAAATTGGGAACTTAACTGAATTCTCCTACCAGAATAGAAAACCTCTCAAAGGATACAAGGAAGCTGAAAACTAAGCAAAAGAATGCTTATACCTCTTCTAAGTTTCTACTTTGTAATCAGTTTGGATTCATGAAATGTATTCCTGTACCTTAAAGAGAAACTCTAACTCAGGAGGTCTTTGGCAGCTTGGACTATGCCTTGCTCACCCTGATGATGTATCTCTCTATGTGGGCTGGTGCTGGGTAATTGGCTTGCTTGCTTCCTTCTACTTTAAGCTGTGCAGGATGCTTTTTGGGCTGGTTACTCTGGCCACAGGCCCCAGCTGCTTCATCTTTTCTCTTTGTACTGTGAGTAAAAAACGCATAGGGCCCAATTACTGTAGATGCCTTTTTTTTCTATTAGCAACATCAGTGCCCAGATCCTGGATTCTTAATACCAAGAATGGGACTTCTGTTTATTTTATTTGCTTCTAAAATGAATCCTTTAAAATGGAGGGTGCATTTCCTTTGGAAAATATGTCATTGTTGTCTACTGCTATGAAAACAATGAAATAAAAAGGAAGCTAAGCTCTAAATGGGGTTTTTGCTTTTTATTAGGTACTAATAAAACTCCAAATAATTTATCCTATATTATTCTAGTTATAGTAAGTAACAGCATTTCCCTAACTTCACAAATTGAAGGTCTGATTCTATTACACATCTCATTAGTGAAGATCATTATTCTACTTAGTGATGATTCAGACACCACAGTAGAAAAGAATTCTTAGAGTACATTAATTGTTAACTAAGATAAAAGCTATTAGCTAAAAATTAATGTAGATGAAAAACTTTCAGTTCCATGTTATTTCATCTCCTGGTATTGATTTTAACTCATTATTAAAGTCTAGCCATATATATTATGGATTACTCTTAACCTCACTTATAGGTAAATTTAATGTAGAGGCTTTTAACCTAAAAATTGGATAGAGAAATGAATCTGCTTATTTTATATAATTTAAAGTCTTCTATTTAGGAAACCTTAGGCTAGCATAATAATTAAAAATGTGGGCTATAGGGGCTGAAAGCCTGTGTTCAAATCTTGATTCTGCCACTTACAGCTAGTGTGAACTATTTAATCACTCTGTGCCTCAGTTTCTTCATCTATAAAACTAATACAGATTAAGGAAGATAATGCATGCAAAACACTTGGCACAGAGTAATCAATACATGTTAGCTCACACTGTCATTCTGAAGTGGAACACAGCATGCTTTAGGTACTTCTAAAGTGTTGCATGATCCAGACTACATTAGTTACTGAGAGAAATGATGCCTCATCTGGCTCTATTAAACATGACAAATGTCCACAAGAAGGGAGATGAGTAAAGATCTGAATATGTTGTTGTGCATGCCAAAAGACTTTTGTTGATTGGAAAAACATATGCTCAGGTGATCTGTAAAAGAATAGAGATCCTATATTTTATTACATTCTCATAAAATGCCCTTATGATTCAGCATTTCCATGCAACACCTGTTGCTTATCACAAGTGCGCTCCTTAATCCCCATCACCTGTATAACCCATCCCCCACCTACCTCCCCTCTGGTAATCATCAGTTTGTTCTCTATAGTTGAGAGTCTGTTTCTTGGTTTGCCTCCCTCTCTCTTTTTCCCCCTTTTCTTGTGTTTCCTAAATTCCACAAATGAGTGAAATCATATCGTATTTTTCTTTCTCTGACTTACTTTACTTAGCATAATACTCTCTAGCTCCATCCATGTTGTTACAAATGGCAAGATTTCATTCTTCTTTATGTCTGAGTAATATTCCATTGTGTATGTACGCCACATCTTCTTTATCCATTCATCTGTCGATGGACATCTTGGCTCTTTCCACAGTTTGGCCATTGTGGACATTGCTGCTATAGACATTAGGGTGCCTGTATCCCTTTGAATTAGTGTTTTTGTATTCTTTGGGTAAATACCTAGTAGTGCAATTGCTGGGTCTTAGGGTAGTTCTATTTTTAACTTTTTGAGGAACCTCCATACTGTTCTCCAGAGTGGCTGCACCAGTTTGCATTCCCACCAACAGTGCAAGAGGATTCCCCTTTCTCCATATTCTTACCAACATCTGTTTTTTCTTGTGTTGTTAATTTTAGCCATTCTGGCAGGTGTGAGATGACATCTCATTGCAGTTTTGATTTGTATTTCCCTGATGATGAGTGATGTTGAGCATCTTTTCATATCTCTGTTGGCTCTCTGTATGTCTTCTGCCCATTTTTAAATTGGATTATTCATTTTTGGGGTGTTGAGTTTTATAAGGTCTTTTATATTTTGGATACTGACCCTTTATCAGAGGTCATTTGCAAATATCTTCTCCCATTCCATAGGTTGCCTTTTAGTGTTGTGGATTGTTTCCTTCTCTGTGCAGAAGCTTTTTATTTTGATGTAGTCCCAATAGGTTATTTTTACTTTTGTTTCCCTTGCCTCAGGAGACATAGGTAGCAAGAAGTTGCTATGGCTGATGTCAAATGGGTTACTACTGCCTGTGTTCTCCGGTAGGATTTTTACAGTTTCAAGTCTCACATTTAGGTCTTTAATCCATTTTGAAATTATTTTTGTGTTTGATGTAAGGCAATGGCCCAGTTTTATTCTTTTGCATGTTGCTATCCACTTTTCCCAACACCATTTGTTGAAGAGACTGTCTTTTCCTGTTGGATATTTTTTCCTGCTTTGCCAACAATTAATTGACCAAATAGTTATGGGCTCATTTCTTTAAACCTAGTGTAATTGTCTTGGGTTATTAGATCGTAACAGACAACTTAAAATAAATCTTATTTAATTGTCTTTTTATGAATATCTATGTAACCAGGTTTTTTAAAAAAAAGTCTAAGGATCTAGAATCATGTTTTAAATTTTTTAAAATAGTCTTCCACAACCAGCTGAGATCTTGGCTTTATAATAGACATTCACCCAATATTCTCCCCCTTATTATTCTATAATACCAGAATTCTGTCTTTTTAAATTTTATTTATTTATTTATTTATTTATTTATTTAAAGATTTTATTTATTTATTTGACAGAGATAGAGCACAAGTAGGCAGAGAGGCAGGCAGAGGGAGAGGGAGAAGCAGGCTCCCCGCTGAGCAGGGAGCCCGATGCGGGACTCGATCCAGGCACTCCAGGACCATGACCTGAGCCGAAGGCAGTCGCTTAACCAACTGAGCCACCCAGGCGCCCAATTTTTTTTATTTTTTAAAGATTTTTATTTATTTATTTGACAGAGATAGAGAGAGCACAAGTAGGCAGAGAGGCAGGCAGAGGGAGAGGGAGAAGCAGGCTCCCCGCTGAGCAGGGAGCCCGATGCGGGGCTTGATCCGAGGACCCTGGGATCATGACCTGAGCCGAAGGCAGATGCTTAATGACTGAGCCACCCAGGCACCCCCAGAATTCTGTCTTAACCACAAAAAACTTTCAACATAAGTACAATAGGGAATATTTAATGTAATTAAGTGCTTACAATTTTGTTGTGCAAATGTCAGAGAGATAAGCAATTAACAGAAAGTTAGGGTAATATTTACAAAAATATATCATTACTAAAAATAAGCAATATGTATGTGCTTGTTTAATTTAAAGGGAATAAAAAATTGTTAGGCTATCAACATGTGGTTAGCTATCAGGCAGTTGATAAACATATTTTTTCATATCAAAATTCTACAATATTAAAAAAAACCAACCAAATATGAACTCAAATGAGACATTTAACAAAGTAAGAAATAACAGATCTGGGAATCATTATGTTGATCATACCTCAGCACAGATGAAAGATTACTATCATTGTCAATGCCATCAATTTTTGGTAACACTTACTATCCCAGTGCTACACTAAAGGATGTCTTTTATGTCCAGGAACATTTGTAGAAATGGTTCCTGATCTGTGGTCCCAAGGGGCAATTGCCCATGCAGTAATTTTAGCACTGTGTTCTTAGCACTATGCCATATACTGTGGAGGATGGAAGAGGCAGCTAAATATCATTCTTGTCTTCAAAGAACTTACTCTCTGGTAGGGAAGGCAAGCTTATGGACAATCCAGACAGTATATGATACATGATGACAATACATAAATCAAGTTAGTGCATTAAGGTAGCAGTCATCCACTTACATAGATCAAGGTTGGAATGTGAAATGATTTTGTATGAACCTTCTAGACTTTGGTCTATGCAAAACTGAGAGGTAGGTGAAAGTTACCTTTGATATTTATGCATCTCTCCTATGAACTTTCTTCCAATGCTGGTGGAATAGATGATTCCCCAGGCTGCTGTGGTTTTAGGAAACAGCCTACTCCCTACTCTTCATATACCCTGCTACGAGAACATCCCCAAGAGTGTATTACTGACTGAAATCTATTTTGTCTGGAACTTCAAATCCAGATGGCATCTGGAGGGAATAGTATCTTGGGCACTGACAATAATACCTTCACCTATCCCTCAACTCTCAATGGAGTGAGTAAATAATGACTTGGGATCTCATCTGGAAAAGTCTGCCCTCCCTGTGGTGCATAATTAATAAATGCTAAGTGGTGGGATTCTGAATAGAAATTCCATAAAGATTGTAGAAGAGTAAGATTAATGACTCTGAATGGTAGATCCATTTCTATTCATTTCTCACCAGATGGCATCATTGTCCCAGCTCCACAAAGTAGAACCAAGGAGTCATTCTTGATGTGTCCCTCTATCCTCCTTTGTCACAAAATCCTATTGATCTTTTCTCATAAATATCTTTTGGGAATCCATCTCTTTCCTTTCTCTTCTTCTTGATTTACATAGCAGCTGAACTTTTCATGTTTATTTGTGAGATTGTATGCTCCATGAAAGCATAGATCCTTTCTGATTTCCTCCCATCATTGTATCTCAATTATATAGTAATAATATATACTTGATCAACAAATAAATGAGTTAGAAGTTGCACTAGACCTTAAATCTTTGTAAGATTTGGACAGAAATGAAAGGATAATAATAATTGTAAAAGAATAAACATAAGCCAAAGGATAAAAGAAAGAATTACTATGGCTTACTCATAGGCCAAAAATAAGATTGACTAGAGCTAAAGGTGGATTGGGAAAGTAAATGGTAAATAACTTTCCATAGAAGGCATGGGGTCAGATTATAGAGGGGACAGAGTTTATGCTTGCTCTGGTAGGAAAGTGGAGATTTTTAAGTATTGTCATGATAAACTGGAAGCAGAACTTAAATATGTGCTAGTTGAAACAAAGAGCCAGTATTAATTCAGATGTGATATAACAAGTACTTAGACTTGGGAGAGAGCAGTAGAGATTATGAGGGAAAGGTCTAGAAAGGGAAACGAAATATTTTAAAGAAAAAGAACTTGGGCTGTGGTAAGTGAATGTGGGGTATGGATATAATTATCTTCATTCACACATATTTAATGAATTCCTCTGGACCTATTTTTATGCAGCAACTTCCAGATCCACTTAATATGTAGCTGTTTTTAGTAATGTTTATGTATTATAGAAAATAAAATATGAAAAAGTGCTCCAAACCAGGATGTCTCAACCTCAGCACTACGGACATTTTATTTATTTTTTTTATTTTTATTTTTTTTAAAGATTTTTATTTATTTGACAGAGAGATAGAGAGCGAGCACAAGTAGGTGGAGTGGCAGGCAGAGGGAGAGGAAGAAGCAGGCTCTCCTCTGAGCAGGGAGCCAGACGTGGGGCTCGATCCCAGCACCCTGGAATCATGACCTGAGCCGAAGGCAGCCGCTTAACCCACTGAGCCACCCAGGCACCCCAGCACTACTGACATTTTAGATTGGATAATTATGATGGGGGCTGTCCTGTGCATGGTAGGGATGTCAGCAGCATTCTCAGCCTTTCCCAATAGATGCCAGTAGCACCCACCTATCCACCTGTGACAACAAAAATGTTCCCTGGGTGAGGAGGAGCAAAATCTCCCCCACGGGAGAACCACTGCTCTAAAAGTATATAGTCTTATCAAGCACACAAAATCATCATTGTAAGATTTATTACTACATAACAAACTCATTTTCATTTCATTTCAGAAACTGATACCTTTGTTAGGGAAAATACATCCTTCGTTAAATGTGAACATTATTTTTTAAAGGGATTTTTAGAAATGGAGGTGTAAATCTTTAAATATACTTACATTGAGTTCTAAAACTTTTCCAAGGCAATCAATCAGCAATGATGTAAACATGGCTACAGTAATGATAACCACTGTTACAATAATGTGGAAGACCGACGAAAGATTCCCACCAAAAAACACATTGGCAATTACCTGCCAAAGAAACACATTATTTAGAGACGGATTCTCAGAGGCATGCAGGACTTATTAAGAAAGTATGTCATATTATAGCACTTAGGACTGTATAAAACACTACCAGTAAGGCAATCAATCAAATCTTAAGCCATACGAATGTCCTATCTTTTCCAAAGTACTTACACATAGACAAACACACATTTCAATAACAAGTATTCTTTACCGAATTATTAGACAGGTAGTATATTATATTACAGACCCAAAACATGGTATATAATGGGTGAAAAAACATATTTCTCAAGTGTAAGAAAGATCTTAGGAAGTTACCTTATAAGGTATTTGAGTCCAACAAGGTCGTCACTAACAGAATCTATGGATGGTATTTAGATTTTTGAATGAGAGGAGATTGGAGAGAGTCAACCAATCTAAGAAAACAAATAGTGATCTGGATAAAAAAGATCAAATAGAATTTAGAACTAGAAGAGCTTTAGTTACCTAGATCCATCTTTCTTGAGTAATCAGCTTTACAGCAATCCTGAAATGTCCTTGTCCTACCTTGGCTTGAGGTAGGGCTTAAAACATGGGTAGGATTTAGAGCAAAATTACAGACTGAGGCAACAGTGTGAAAAGAGCAAAAGAAGAAAGAGGAACAGGAAAGATACCTATGGAAGACAAGAAAGAGACAATCTGAATAGGGCTGACTCTGCAAGAGAGCCCTGAGACAAGAGTTGGAAATGGTAGAAGGTCAGATGCTGGGGGACCTTAATGAAGCCAACCCTCCAAGTTGTTACTTGTCTAACATTCCTAGATAAGTAACATTCCTCACAGACTGGACACTGCCATAGCCCTACTAATAATTACTGGGAATATTAATAACTTTTACTTATTTATGGTTTTACAATTAGTGATGTTTTTTAAATATTTAAAATTCATTCTTTTTTTTTAAGATTTTTTAAATTTATTTATTTGAGAGAGAGAGAATGAGAGACAGAGAGCATGAGAGGGAAGAGGGTCAGAGGGAGAAGCAGACTCCCTGCTGAGCAGGGAGCCCGATGTGGGACTCGATCCCGGGACTCCAGGATCAAGGCCTGAGCCGAAGGCAGTCGCTTAACCAACTGAGCCACCCAGGCGCCCCCCTAAAATTCATTCTTATAGAAGCCTCTAATACATGATTATAATAGTAGAAAATCACTGCATGTGGCAGGCTACTGAGAGTTATTCATTAGGGGTATGGACAAGCTTTTTGGCACCCTTGTATGTGGCTGGCTACTTTATCTATGAGTAGAAATGGCTTTGACTGTGTTTATGCTGTGTGTGTGTGTGTGTGTGTGTGTGTGTGTGTAGAAAGGAGAGAAAAAGGAAGTGAATGAGTGAAGTATATTTGAGGTTCCTCTGCATAGTATTTGCTATCATGGCAGAGACTCTTGAGTTAGTTCTATCTTCCTGTCATGGCAGCTAGAAAGGAAACAAGTTCCAAGAACTAAAGACATAAACTGTGCAGGTGGAGTGACTCAGATTGTCCACAAGCAGTTCACCAGAAGCCACATGAGAATGTAGCATCTATTACTGCTGACCTACAGATCAGATTTGAACCCAAAGTACTGGGCAGAAGCTAAAATAAAACCAATCCCTGCATCTAACAAGAGCAAAAAATTTTTCAAGTTTCTTAGATTTGAAAAATCTTCATAAAGTAAATTTCAATCTACTTCTCCCTTATATTCAAGGTGGAGAACTAGTCTGTGAGTTACACATTTGTAAGTGAGGACAAGTGCTAATTGTAAAGGATATACATAGTGCTGAACATTTCCTTATTCCATTTCCCTGAGCAGTTCCTTACCCCCCAGAACTGGCATAAGGTAAGCACTGGTCTTCCTCTAGAAGCCTGCTGATTAGTTAGCGTATTTAAAGCTCTGTAGGCGGTTCACTTCACACATTAGACCCATTCACATGGTGCACTGTGTAAACAGCCTCTAGGAATAGATCCTAAAACTAAGCCCTTTTCAGAGTGATTGCTGAAAGAACCACTGTGAAGCAGGATCATGTTTTTCTGCTGACTGGTACAGTGGATTTTTCGCTGACTGTATAAGGGATTCCCGACAAGCTATCCAGCTTTACAGAAAAAGAATGATTTCTTTTTCACTTAATCATCCTTTGCAAATCCATACATATAGTACAAGTACATCACAAATACATATATATGTAATATACTATCTTTATTATTTTACATGGTATAAAAATATAAATATATTTCTATAAATATATAAATAAAATATATCTGTAAAACTAGTGGTTTAAATTGAATTTTGGTTTTCCATAGATAATAAGACATTTTAGTTTTTTCAAAATAACAAAACTGATCAAAATCTGTTCAAAGTTGCCTTTAATACACATTGACTTATAAAGCATCTTAGCAAAAGAACGATTTTGTAAGACACGTCTTAAATCTTAGTACTTAATTTCTTTGTAAGAATGCTTTTAAGAAAAAACCACTTAGTTTGGCTCTATTAAAGGTTGGCATTCATTTTGGAATGCAGTTGTATAAATATTTATACTTATGTTAATATAAACTAAACCACCAAACATGATCTTCAAATCCAACTTTTGAAAAAGTAACTTGTAAACATTTGAATATAAATTTATCTTTAAACTGGTTGAAAAAGAGACTTATAAATTATATGACTTATCATGCACTTGTGAATTTGCAGATTTAAATTATTTACAAATCTTCCTAAATTAAATGTAGTAGAGGGATCGACTAGGTAAAATGTTGGAAAGGAATTGTGCTTACCTCTCTAGTCACAAAACATTCAATTGGGTACGTTAAAATGACAGTGACTCCATAACAGAACCTTCCGAATGTTACCAAATCATCATTTCTGCAATAGTTTTCAAATAAGTCTCCTGGAGAATAATATAAAATAGATTTATTTCAACTGAATATTTGAGATAAATATCTAACAAATCAGATATTGGATATTTATTGTATAAGTGGAGCTCCATAAACTCCATTTAATTAATAGAATAGACTGCCAAGTCTAAATACAAGGTTTTTTGTTTTCAATAACTATATAATTATGACTGATATTAAAACTAGTACATTTTCCACTTGAAGATGAATTCATCAGTGACAGTTTTTCTCTTATTCTAATTGTTTGTTTTTAGTAGATTTGCCTTAAATTTGTATCAACTTCTGAAAAATACTTTCATCCATTGTCTTCTGACACCTGAACCAACTCCCTAAATTCTTGTGCACTAGCTTTATAAACTTGCTTCTGGTCTTTGTTTCTGGTAAATAAGTGACTTTGTTATTAAAAAAAAAAAGTCTTAAACAGATTTCCTTTTGAAATGTTATTCTTAGATCAAGGGCAATCCTGAAAGGAAGAGCAGATGAGTACATCTGGGGAGCTGAATTCCCTGTATATCATGCTGTAGGGTTTAATCCCAGACTGAGGGCCACAGCAACTATTCACCTTTCATGGTATCTGATGAACCCGAGTGCAAGTACACTAATTCAAAACTGTGAAAATACGGTTATTTCTGGGGTAAAGCATTATATTTAATTAGTTCCAAACTAAACAATGGACCGTGCGCACCGTGAACCAATTCTTATTTAGAGACTACATTTTCTCAGACATCTATGAAGAAATAGAGGGATCTAATGAGGGCCCAGAAGTCATGTCAGTAAAAAGTTTCCCAATACTGAAACAAACAATATTTGGGCCTATTTATTTCCTTTTTTTTTTTTAAAGATTTTATTTATTTATTTGACAGAGAAAGACACATTGAGAGAGGGAACACAAGCAGGGGGAGTGGGAGAGGGAGAAGCAGTCTTCCCCGCTGAGCAGGGAGCCTGATGCAGGGCTCAATCCCAGGACCCTGGGACCATGACCTGAGCCAAAGACAGACGCCTAACAACTGAGCCACCCAGGCGCCCCAGGCCTATTTATTTCCTTAATATAACATGCTTACATTTTAAAATTTGGGTCACATTTTCCAGTTAGACTGAATAGAAAAATAAGATCAAAGTCACACACTACTACACTATTTAAAAAGAAAACAAAACTATACTTCTGTCCTTTTTTCTTTAATTAAAAAGCTAAATGACCCGCCTCTGCCAAGACTTACTTTAATGACTCTTCTCCCCTCCTCCTATCAATTGGAACAAATGTACATTACCTCCTAGGGTCCCTTTTAGGCGGAAAGGGATTAAACCACAAGCAGTCGTGGCAAAGACCTGCTTCAAGTTTGACTGAAAATGTTCTACCACTCAGAAAAGAGGACAGAAGGTCCCTGTTCATTAACCTTCAGTAAAAAGTGACTGAGAATGTCAAGAACAACCTCGACTTCTTTACTGCCTCACAAGCTGAAATGTATCTACTAAAAGGGAAAACAAAAGAAGCAAGCAGTTTGCACAGGAAAGACCAGATTTGCCTAAGATGAAATGACCTGAAGAAACAATGTCAGCTTATTCCAGCTTGAGTCTATTTTCAGGAATTATAGCTAGGTTAAAGAAAAAAACAACAACAAAAAGCCCAAACCAAAACCAACCCGTCAGCTTTGTTATATAAAGATTTAATTATATCTAAGCAAATACCACCGATAACAACACTAGGAAGGTGTGACTAAGAAAAAGGGTTTATGTCATACAGGGAAGGCATTTAAAAACCAAGGTTTTGTACAGACTGGAGCCTACAGGCCATTCACCTTGGCAAATGATGTAGCAACAGTGATACATGGCAATGTTTTGAAACAATTTTTATCAAGACTTTCACGGTCACTTCATTGCCATACTCTAATGGCACATACATGGATTGTATTTTTGATGGCATTGGAATTATGTTAAACACTTTGTTTTGAAGCCATTTTTACTTTTTTCTTTATTTCTTGAGAAATCTCTGCCTATAATCATAGTTACCTGTGACCTCTATTTGAAACAATACACCCAAGAGTACCTAGTATCATCTGAAAACTAAGTGAAGAGGAGCTGGAGGATAAGAGACGCTTTTAATGGGTCGGCCTTGACCAAAGTGGGGTAGACAGCAAGAGAGAATGGAATGAAAATTGAACTGGAAGTCAGGAGACTTGTTTTCTACTTTGTCACCAGCCAGCTTGGGCAGGTTCCTTCACCTCTTTGTGTTTTAAGCAGGGGGTAAAACTAGTTATTCCACTTACCTTCATAGGGTTGTTTCAAGGTCAAATGAGATAATAGACCTGCAAAAGCTGTGACATGTTTGAATCACAACATTTACCAGGGTATTAATACTACACAGAGGAGTGAGTGCACAGGTCAAAGGAAGAAGAGAGAACCACTCAGCTGTTGGGCCTGGGCGAACAGGGAAAAGAGAAATAAATTCAGTGTCAGGTGGTGAGGTGGAGGAGGAGGGGGGAAGAGGTGGGGCTGGTTCTGTGGGAAAGATGAAGTTTTGTATTTAAGGTAAGAATGGATAACTAAGTAGGAATGTCCTGCAGGCAAGAGGCTGGAGATGAAAAGAAAGGTCTGGACTAGAGTTTATAAAACAATGACAATCTCCAGGGAATTTGTTGAGAGAAAAGAAGGCAACTTGCCTGAGCCAGTTAATGGAAGGTGGGAGGAGAACGGGAGAGAAGGTAAGAGAAAGCAAAGAGCAATCACTCAGGGAGAAAGAGTGAATGATGATGTGATAGTGCTCCTTCTCCTATGGGAGGAAAGACAGGATGTTCGGAACTGTTAAGTGATTCACAGAGGTGCATGAGAATCAGAACCAAGAAGAATATTCACTTTGAAGAGTGGGAGGATGCTGGTATTTCTGAAAGTGAAGCTGCAGAGGAGAGGGAAGCCAGATTTCAAGTGCTTTTAAGTGAAAGCATGGAAGAAGAGAGGAAAGGAACTACAGAAACAAGTTTAGCAGTTCAAAAGGGAGAAAATCAGGAAAACAGAAGCAGCAGAGGTGGGAAGGGAGAGGAGAGAATGGACAGAAGAGATAGTGATACTCTGAAGTAGAATACTGGGTATAATTGTACCTAAAATGAGGAGCGACAGAACCAGTCCATGTGAATAACAAAATATGATGAGAACAGAATCTCTCATTTTACCTTGGGTGAAGCCAGTAAAGGTCAAGTATCCACATGTAGCAAAGAGAGTACTGGTAAGTACAGAAGCCAAGGTGGACACATGGATGACGCGGGACCAGTTAGCTACTGTGGGGTCTTCCAAAGAACCATAAACTAAGAAGCAGTTATGGTGGCAAATAAATGCTGCAATACAAAAAAGAAAAAAAAAATAAGAGCACCATTAAAGCAAATGTTACTGGATTTCCTTCTCCTTCGGTGCCCACAGTTCTTGGTCAGGTGGCTTTGAAGAATGAAGAGGTAGACCGGACAGAGTGGCAGGCAGTGAAGCAAGTTTACTGAGTGATAGCAAAGTGATAGTACAAAGCTCCCGAGGAGCTTTGCCATACAACCCGAGAGGGTTGCCATTGGAGTTTCTAAATCTATAGGGGTTTTTGTGGGCTTGTTGGAGGGCTGTTTTAATCGATTAACCCTCCCTGCACCTGTCATCCAATCAGATTTTTGTCATCTATCTATCACATGGGAAAGGGTGGAGGGCTCCTTCCAGGGCCGTGTAAAATCCTTTTAAGGGTGGTTTCCTTTTAGGGCAGGGGCCTGTCCTGTCCCTGCCTGCCTGCCTTCCAACTGTCCTTTATCACAAGCACTAAGGTTCTCTTTTTTCTTCTAAAAATTCAGAGATGTATGTGACTTTGGAATGCTACTGAAGTTCAAATACATTAATTCACTAGCTATGTCCGAAAATAACTTTTTTAACAACTGTAGGAATGAGAAATTTCACTCACATTAGGCTTATGTGGTCTCTTCATGTCACTCTTGATATAAACCAGGCCTATCCAACTTTCTCTCCCATTTTCCATTTCCTAGTGGCCTTCCAATCTTAAGGGAAATCTAAACAACACTATGTTTTCAGTCCATGGCTTCCTTTCCAATCTGGGATATAACAGAGTAGCTTTAGACATCTGGCCAATTTGTAATACTTTGTGTGCAAGGTTTTGAATAAGCACATAACACTTGCTAGATTTTCAAGTTAAAAAATAAGATGACTGTAATGAGTTTTCTGCATGAGAAAGAGACTTGTCCAAATTAAATCAAATTTTAGTGATGAGTGAGAAAAGTTTGAGCCTAATTTTATGTTGGCACAAACTAGACCATATGTTGCTAATAGGAAGTCTAAAACTTGGGACATTTGCTCTCCAGACACAAATAAGAAACTTTTTCATTATACGGAAGACTCCATATTGAGAAAGAGCCTATGAAATCATATACTCACCAAACGACATCACACCAAGAGCCTGAATGGCATTAGGCTTTGCAAATACCCAAGCATCCTCTGTTTTTGGTCTAGAAGATAAATCAGGTAATTTAATGAATGATCAAACAAATGCAAACCTAAGCATGTCAGAGAACAAGAAATGGTGTCACAGTAAAAACTGAGTATCTTTAAGTCAGAAATTAATAAGGGGCCCCCATCAATCTTTCTTAATTGTAAATAATTTCCCAGGAACATGCATGTTATGTTTACCTCAGTCCTCTAAAATGCATGTCAAATACTTGGAAAGACTTTATTCTTATATATTTAAAATATCCACTGACTACTTAATTTTATGACATTTTTACTCACCAATTTAACAACAAACATTTGTTATGCACTGATCGTTGAAGATACTGATTGAGGGAGATACAAAAATTAATAATGCAATGTTCCTCCTCGGCTAATCAATACTTCCTTCATTCCCCTTAAACTCATTCTCCAGGCTCATCCTACCCCAGGGAAATTCATAGTTGGCACTACAGTTGACGGAAGAAGGTGGACATGAACTAATATTAATTGAGGATGTACTTAACTGTATTCTGGGAATTATCCTCTGATATCTCAATCTTCACAGTAACACTCACATATTATTGTCACTATTTAATACATCAGGAAAGTTAAGCTCCGGGTGGTGATAAAACTTGTCAAGCTTCCACAGATGATAAGTGAAGCTGAGATTTGCCGTTCATCCCAGTATCTCTTTTACCCTGAACTGTCAAGTGACCTCAAATTCTCACCTGTGGAAATACTTCTCAAAGACGTTTTGGAAAGATATGAACTTCAAATTACCTGAGGCATCCTATTTCTTAGTGGAATTAAAATATTTGCCAGCCTGTCTATTGGCAGAGCTCGGTCTCCCTGGTTACCATGTATCCCTGAGTAATGGTGAAGAGTCTAGGTTCTGAGATCAGACAGCCTGTGTTAGTCTTCTGGCCTCTTCTGCCTGTGTGATCTTAGGCAAGTGATGAACCTTTTTGTGCTTCAGTTTTTATATCTATAAAATGAGATTAATAAGAGTAGTACCTAATCCACTGAGTTATTGTGTGAATTAAATGAGATAAAATATGTAAGATTTCTGGAAGAGAGCCTTGCATATAGTCAGGTGTTCAATAACTGGTCACTCATATCATCAACTTATTAATATTATCCATTGTCATTTAATAAAAAGTAGGCAACTCATTATTCATTCTCCATGTAAAACACACACACATACAAAGTCTCGTTTGCTCTGTCAAAGTTAGTGGGATTTATGCATTGTATCTTTTTTTTTCATTCCATGTTTGAAATGAGTGGTTACAGGTCCTCGAGAATGAGCCAGCCTAGGAGGGAGGCCTCAGGATGTTACAGGCTTGCGGTGACTCCCGTGTCTTGAGGGGGAGCTGCTCCCACCTCCTGCCTCCACTGTTCTCGCTGCTGTGAACATTAACCGAGAAGAGTGTACCCGTCAAATGCCAAGGTTACCAGGGGAAAAGGCAGATTTTGCCCACGGTCTTTAAAAATGATTCAGAAAAGCAGCACTAAAAATTACAGAAACTTGGAAGGTTGTAAGTTTTGTTTTTTTTTTTTTTAAAGATTTTTATTTATTTATTTGACACAGAGAGACAGCGAGAGCAGGAACACAAGCAGGGGGAGTGGGAGAGGGAGAAGCAGGTTTCCCGCGGAGCAGGGATCCCGATGCGGGACTCGATCCCAGGACCCCGGGATCATGACCTGAGCCGAAGGCAGACACTTAACCACTGAGCCACCCAGGCACCCCATAATTTTGAATTTTTTGTGTTCACCTTAATGATGCTGATTTTATGATATATTTGTTTATTCATTTATTTATTTTAGTTTTTAGAGAGAGCGAGCGAGCAAGAGATGTGAGGCCGGGGAGGAGGAACAGAGGAAAAGGGAGAGAAAGTCTTAAGCAGGTTCCAGGCTCAGTGCAGAGCTTGACTAGCGGCTTGATCTCACCACCCTGAGATCATGACCTGAGCTGAAATCAAGTCGGACTCTCAACCAACAGAACCACCCGGGCACCCCAATGATGCTGATTTTGTAAGATGGAAAATAATAAAAAAAGATGTTGCAGATAAGAAAGCATGTGCATCCAAATCTAGGGAAAAGGACATTGAATATGGCTTTCTGATATTTTATAAAATAGCCTGAAATTAAAATTAGTTGCAGAATCAACCAGCCACACACACACACACACACACACGAGAGAGAGAGAGAGAGAGAGAGAGAAAGAGAAAGTTCCTTGGCATATTTAGAGATTTCTGGAAACTTGATACCCATAATGATTGAGAAAATGAAGTTATATACTGTTCTGATTTTAGACTATAGATGCTGAAATACAAAATGAAATATCAAATGCAACAAGCAATGTATAAGAAAAAATCATGACTAGGAAGAGTTTTTCAAACAAATGCAAGGGTTGTTCAATAATAGAAAAATCTATTAATGTAATTCATCTCATCAACAGATTAATGGAGACAAAAAGCTTATGCGCTCTCAAAATATGTAGAAGAGCCTACAATCCAATATTTACTTTGAAAAACATGCTAAGTAAGCTATTAATAAAATAGAACTTCCTTAATCTGACAGGAATATCTACCAAAATCTATAGCAAATGACACATTTAAAAGTGAAAATTTAGAAATATTACAATTAAAGGTGGAAACCAGATAAGGATGTTTACTATCACTGCTTCCAGACTATATCACAGGAATTCCTAGCTAATGCAATAAAATAAGAAGTGATAAGATACTTAATCATTGGAAATGGATAAATTATTTGAACACAACAGAACTGTGTCCACAGAAAATTCAGGGGAATTTGCTGACAAGCTATTGGAATTAATAAGAGTATTTAGCAAGGTTACTGGATATATGAAATATACACTTCATACATGAAAATCATTACGGTTGAGGTACATAAATAATAACCAAATAAAACGGTTTTTAAATGGCAGTGGCAATAAAAACACTACATATTTTTAAAGATATGCATAATCGTAATGGCATGATATAATTGTATGGAAAGACACATACAAATGGAGAGATATACCATATCCAATATATGAATAGGAGGACTCAGTATCATGTAGATGTCAATTCTCCCCCAAATTAATATTTAAATTCAAAGAATAAAATATGATATTCAAGGAGAAAATATTTTTTTAAAAAACCCATAAAAGCAACATAATAGTAAGGATTGATAAACCCGATAATGTTTGTATAATAAAATAATCCATATACAAAGTTAAAATATAAAGATAAGCTAAAAACTTGTAAATGAGATCTGTCATACCTAGGAGATATTCCAATAAGCAATGAACAATAGTCAATTGACAGAAAAGGAAATGAGAATGGTCAATATTTATGCTATCAGTTGCTCACTTTCCTTTATAATCAGAGAAACTCAAATGAAATCCATACAAAAAGACATTTCACACTTAATTCAACAATAGCAAAGTTGATAAATCGCTGGGAAAAGAGAACTTGAAATTATTACAGAGGGAACTGTAAATTGTAAAGCACTTAGGAGAAGAGTTTGATAGTATCTAGTAAAGTTGAAGGTACTCAAAACTTGTAAGCAAACATTTCTACATATATATCCTAGGCTAGGAAAGTACACATGTGCACACAAAGATATGGATAAGGATGTTCACTAGTGCATTGTTCATATTAGCCAAACTTTGGAAACTACCTCAATTTCAAGCAATAGAATTGATAAATAAATCCATAAGTAAAACATGACATAAACATAAAATTATGTGCCATAAGAGCAATTAAAAAGAGTCACTCAGGGCTAACTGTATCAAAATGGAAATATACAGCACACAAAGCTAAAGGAAAAATCATGAGTTATAGAAGAGAATGTACATTTTTTTACCATAGTGGTTATTTATGTATATTTTACAAACATACTAATCAATACTAGATATTGTTGTCAATACATAAATGCATAGTGCAAGTATAAAAGCATTAAATAGGAATGATTTAAACCAATTTAAGAATAATAATTACCTCTAGGGAAAGAGAAATGAATTGACTTTTAAATGTGATAGTCTATTGCTGATAAATATTGAAGTAAATATAGAAAATTATTTCAAAAAGGTCTAGCCCAATTTCCTGCTTCCTGAACTTTATATGATTATATAATATTATCTACATAAAACCTTTCTGGATCTGAACCTAATTTTTAGCCTTAAATTTCCATATATACTCTACAACTGAAACTACATTCTTCCTGGTTTCCAATCCCTTGTTCAATTCATTCAATTTTCAACAAATATTTGTTGACCACTACCAATGTAGCAATCACTGTTATAAATCTCTGAGGATACTGCAGAAAAAAAGACAAAAGAAACAAATCAACTATCTTGGACTATCTTGGTGTATATTCTATATCATAATCTAGAACAGCACTGTATTATAGTGTTTTGTTTTTTTTTAAAGATTTTATTTATTTATTTGACAGAGAGAGACAAAGCAAGAGAAGGAACACAAGCAGGGGGAGTGGGAGAGGGAGAAGCAGGCTTTCCACTGAGAAGGGAGCTGGATGCGGGGCTTGATCCCAGGACCCCGGGATCATGCATGACCTGAGCCGAAGGCAGATGTTTAAGGACTTTAAGGACTTAGTTAAAAACTAAGAGTTTTTAACTAAGAGTTAAAGAAATTACCTAAAGAGGTTTAATTTTTTCCTACAGTGTAGAGGTGCCTGGGTGGCTCAGTCAGTTAAGTGTCTGCCTTTGGTTCAGGTCATGATCCTGGGGTCCTGGGATCAAGCCCCATTTGTTGGGCTCCCTGCTCAGTGGGGGGCCTATTTCTCCCTCTCTCTCTTTGCCCCTGCCCCCTGCTTGTGTTCTCTCACTCTCTCTGTCAAATAAATAAATAAAATCTTTTAAAAAATTTTTTTCCTATAGTGTAGCCTATGCTATATATTTCAGTATTTTTTACCACTTGAGTTTTCTGAAGGGCAAGTAGAAGAATGGAGGAGTTGAGTATAACAATAAACAGAAAAATACTTTGTTAACTTATAA